AAAATACATTGAAAAAATGTAAGTAAAGGATTCGGAAAGTTTCGTGTAATTTTTGAAATATTTTTACAAAAATTTAAAACAAAAAATTTATTTTAAAAATTGACCAAAATTTGATGTTTATTTGTTTATTTGTTTATTTTATAAATATAAGAATAGATAGATTTATTTAAGCATTACCTTTTTTACCGATAATTGTTGTTGTTGTTGTTGTTGTTGTTGTTGTTGATTAGTATCTGAGGTAGAAGCTATTTGAGGTGAAATAATTTTAATTTCTTCATCTTCTTTTTGTTTATTTAAATTTGAAAGAATTGCTAAATAGGGACGAGGTGGTTTAGGAGGTGGTATATCGGTATATGCTGGTAGATTGACAATTTGCGCCGGAACATTTGATAAACGTCGTGTCATTGTTTCATCTCTATCACCTAAAATTTTCCTTTCATTTTTTATTAAACAATTATATGAATTGATAAATTTCCTAAAATAACATTTCTACAAATATTTACATCAATTAGATTTTCATATTGCATATCATTAAAGCAAATTTGAATTTGCATATTGAAAGATGAACCATCTTTTTTAATTTTATCAATTAATTAGAATCGTTAAATCAGATATTATCATTTATCGCAGTATTAAAGCTAACTAATACTATTCTAATTAATTAACTAATTAATTAATATTGTCGCATTGGATAAATCCCTAAATTAAATGATAAAATTTAATCATTTAAAATTATACCAAGATATATTCCTTGAGCTGAAGAAGATGGTTGTGCTTTCTTGGTGATCGCAATAAACGGAAAATGTGTACGACGTTGTTTTACCGGAGCACAGAAACATAATACTTCCGGTTGCCGATACTGTAACATTGTACAAATTAGTTGATTTAATTGCTAACTAATTAATTAATTAATTAATGCGCATAATAAAAATAAGTATCCAATCTAATCTGAAATAAAAATGCTCATTACTATTTTTTGTCAAAATAATTATTTTCTGATAAAAAAATTATTAATATATTTTAAACGAAAAAAAAACCAAATGATTTCCACCTGTCGGAGTGATTGCCAAATTTTTATGCCACTTTCTAGACGAAAATTTGTTGTTAAATCGTTTTCATTGATCACATTTAATAATGGAGTAATCATATACACGAATAATTGTATACTGCTAATAGAAAATGCATATTGTCGTATGGCTTGTGCAGGAAAATCTGTTGATCCAATTAAACTCTAAAATTAAATTAATTTTGTAATTGAAATAAAAAAAGAGAATAAAGTGTTTCGTCGCTTTTTTTTCTTTTAAATATAAATTTAAAAATAATATTTTACAAATGATAATATGTTGTTATTGTTTTTGAAGAAATTGAAAAGATAATGTGATAAATTAATTTGCATACGATGCTAATGAATTGAGTCCTCCTTTGATAAGAGTAATTAATTTAAATAAAATTTGTTTAAAATTTTGCAATATTTCAATTTTTTGGTGAGATTTTTAGCATTTTGATGAAATATTTAAGAAGATAAAAAAGTGAACAGATAACATGCTTATCCGAGAAAAAAACAAATGATAAGTAAATTTGTTGAATGATAAGTTAATTTCATTTCAAAGTTAATGAATCTTGCTTTAAATTTCAATTTATTAAGACTTATTTATGCATATTGTATCAGTAAAATATAAAGTTTTGTTATTAGAGATTAATTAAGTTTAAAATTAATTAGAATCATTTTTTTTTTGTCAATCTTTGGTAAGTTTACTGCAAAATTATTCATTTTTGTAAGAAGAATTCTAAGGTATTGAATTAGGAAAACCTTTTATGATTTATCTTTTATAATTTCATTTTAATCATATATGACATAATTGAATGACACAATGAATGACACATAATTGAATGTTTAATGACATATTATATATGACATAATTTCGCAGTCATTTCTTGGTAAATTTAAAAAAAAATAAAAAATGATACTAATTCTTTTTTGTTGCCAAAAATATTAATTAAACATTATTTCATTTTTATAACTTATTTTATCCGATAAATTTAATGAATTAATAAATTAATTAATCAATTAATCTGAAAATATTTTGTAATTCATTTCAAAGCAATTTTCAGTACGAAGTTAATTCAATCTATTTTTTTTTATAAAAGAGAAAACTTTTACGCACTAATTGTTTTTCACCTGCAATTAATAATATTAATTCATCTAGCAGCTAAAAAAAAAATCACATTACTTAATTATTTAATTTTAATGATTTCAAATTCATAAAACATCTCATCCTTGCATAAATAAAAAATGAGATGGTTGATTAAGCATCACTTTTTTTTCTTTTTTTTTTAAAGCGTAAATTATAAATAACAAATATATTTATGATGTGAATATGTTTTTCATACTAAAATGTAAATTTATTCACTCTCGTTTTTTTTTTATTTTTTTCCCTTTTGCATATTTCATACTAAAATTTGCCTCACAATTATGTCGTAGAAAAAATTTGAATTTTAAAGTATTTTTGAGAGAATAAATTGAAATTTCGTACAAAATCTTATTCCAGAAAAAAAATTTTTGAGAAATTAAATTTGAATTTCTTTTGCCATTTTTTTAAAAACATCAAAAAAAGTTTTTTCACAATAATACATTCATTAAAAGATAAGAAGTTATAAAAATTGTAAATAAAAAAAAGACAATTTAACAGATTTCACCTTTATTAAAAAATTTTATAAAATTATTTTTAAAGTCTTTGAAGGAAAAAACGAAACTTCGTTTTATCAATTTGCAACAGTTTGACGATTAATTAGAATCGATTAATTAAATTCTTTTGAATTTGACATACTGTATATAAATTTTGAAAATAATTCCAAGCATGAGAATGCCGATGTTTCATAAATAGTTTCATTGTATCATTTGAATATCTATTTATAATACATTTACTGGATTTCAATAATTTCCAATCCATTATTTCATTTTAAATTCATTTCAATTCAAATACTAAATTAAGAGATTGGACAAAAAATTATCATAGGAAAAAAGATATTAAAGAATACAATTGTATTCAAGAATTCTTTTGTGTAAAATTGCTAATTTATGAAATTCTTTTACAATTTGAAAATGAATTAATCGATTATCTGATAAGCCTATAAAACTTTAGTATTGGAATTATTTGAAGGAAAATATTTTTTCCCATTCCAATTTCAACTAATCATACAAATATCATGCTATAATTGCTTCCCTATTGGAATGTGATTTGTCGTTTTTTTCAATTAATTCAACTAACTATTTTTTTTTAATCAAACAATAGCACAGAGAATTAATTATCTATTTCTATTAGAAAGATTTAATTTTTTTTTTTTGTAATTTGAAAATTTTTAGTTATAGCTAATTCTAAAGTTATTACTTATCATAAGAAAGTTTTTAATCGATTATACGCCTAAAATTATAAAAAAATTTAAAAAGAAAAAAAAAGAAAAAATTATGGTTAAGAAAAAAAAAGAATTAAGCTATTTAGCTTTTTTCTCTTTTTTTTTTTTAATTAAAAGAATTTGCATAGTTGCAAGAATATTAATAAATTAACAAATTAATATGCAAATAAAACAATATATATAGCTTATTTATTTCACAATTTACACAAATTATGATAGTTATTTGTAACTTTTAAATAGTAAATTTTTCGAAAATTATGATAATTAAATGACAAAGAAAAAGTTGAAAGGTCACAAAATTATCATTTACCTTTCCACTTTCACTATCACAACATTCATTAGCTGAATCAAGAAGAAGCCAATGCAATATATATAACATTTTAACCAATGATCCACTCATTGGTAAATCATTTCGATTAATTGCTTCAGATAATAACGATGCACAACACTAAATTTTAAATGAAATTTAATAAATTATCATTTTTTCTTTTAATTATTAATATAAAATCAATATTTATACAAATAATTATAATCAATTAACACGTAAGTTACGCTTAAATTATTATATTTTAGTATGTGACATTTTTATTTTTAATTTTAAATTATACATTACTTTAAGTAAGTGTAAAGAAGTTTATTTACTTTTTTTCTTTTTTTTCTTACTTATTTACAAAACATTATTTGTACTTACCTGTACAATATGTGGAAATGTTGCACGTACAAAATGCCAACGTGAAATGGAATTAATAGCATCAGAAAGTGATGGACTAAGTCCATGAAGTATATTTTGTACAACAACTCGTTCAAATGTCTACAAATTAAATGATTAATTTAATAACTTATTCAAATTGATAACTTATCATTTATCATCAATTGCTACAAATTGCTATCATTTATTAATTCAATATTTATTAATAATTTAATAATTTATTTCAATTTAAATATTTAAAAAAAAAAAAGAAAAGTTAAAGCTATATTTTGATGTATATAAAATGGTTGCAAAAGATTTCCCATGTGTATAATCGCTTTTTTAATTTCAAATCTATTCCATCACATTTTTAAAATTTCCTATCTCTTTTTACAATCCTGATTAATGAACTTTCTTCATTTTAGTCTAATCAGATGTCTCTTGTCTTTTTAGGAAATAAAATGTCACAAACAACAACAACAACAATAGCAATAATAACATTTGAATCAATTTTTGAACCATTTAAAACACTTACAACACATGATGCTTCATGAAGTTTACCAATTTTTGCACCCAAAAATGGGCTGAAATTTTGAAAATTTAATTTAAATAAATGGATAAAAAATGTAAAATTAGAAAATTATATTAAATTTAATAATATATATATATATCTTTATGTTAGTTAAAATTTTAAATCATAACATTTTTCATATACTTTCTCTCTCTTTCTTCCTCTCTCTCTTTCTCTCTCTCTCTCTCTCATTGATTCATT